AAAAAGTCATATAAATACGTATATAGATAGTTAGATAGATAAAGAGTGTTTGTAAGAGAGAGAGAGAGAGAGAGAGAGTGAGAGAGAGAGAGAGAGAGAGAGAGAGAGAGAGAGAGAGAGTAAACTATAATTTAGTCAGTCGAGCCAGAGCAACAAAAATAAATGAAATTAAATAAAAATTTTTTGACTCTTAAGAGAAGAAAAGAGAAAGAGACAAAAAATAGGAGAAAAGAGAGAGATAGAGAGAGATGTGTAGATAGATAGGTAGATAGATAGAGTGAGAGTGAGAGAGAGAGAGAGAAGAAAGAGAGAGAGGAGAAGGACAGAGTGAGGGGGTTAAACGTGAGTGAGAGAGTACACTAGAATTCAGGTTACCGCTTCAGAGAAACAAAAATAATTAAAATTAAATAAGAAAACTGTTAACCTTAAAAGAAAGAAAGCGAAAGAGATCAGAGAAAAGAATGGAGTAAAAAAGAGATTGCGTGAGAGAGTGTGTGTGAGGGAGGGAGAGCGTGAGTGAGAAGTACACTAGAATTCAGTCAGTCGAGTCTGAGCAACAAAAATAATTAAAACTAAACAAGAAAACTTCCGATCCTTAAGGGAAGGAAAGGAAAAGATAAGAGAAAAGAAAAGTGTAAAGCAACCGACTGTAAATTTAGAAAAGAATTGAAGTTTTCAATATTTACTAACGGTTTATTTTATCAATTTTAAATTTTAATTTATTCCTGTAAGCCGTACCGAGATTAATCGGTAAAGCTTCATATAAAATTGATATTGACCAAATAATTTAAATGTACTACTATTCGTTTAAAAAGGATATTGGGCTTTAGCTATTAAAATGTATGTTTAAATGATTAATGAAGATGACAGAACGATGTGATTTATATAATCCAGGCTTCGTGTTACATGTAACTATTTTCAAAAATTAGTTATAATTGTATGCGTGGTAGTCAGGTCACGGAAACATTTGAACTCTCAACTTCATGCCAAGTTTTTGTTTAAATTGTAAACATCTTCAGGGCTGAGGTAGTTTATACTTTCTTTATCATGTATATATGTAGATGTTTATAATCCTTGATAATAAATAAATTACATATAAAAATTGAAATATCAAAAATAGTAAAACCATAGTAGATAAAGTGTTTTTCAATAATGTGGTTAATTTAATAAAGAAAATAGGTCTGCAATTTTATTTTATTTATTTAATTAACCACATTGATGAAAAATAATTGATCTATTATTATTTTTAGAATTTTTGATATTTTAATACCTGATTATCACACATTCAAATCTACACGAGGTCGATCGATCTGTTCACAACATTTTACTGGTACATCGTAGCTTTCTTCTCGAGAAATCATCATAGTTATAATTATTAAAACTATTATATTTCGTGGTCCGATTGACCAAATAACTTCTTTCAATTAATTAATCTTTATGTAAGGTATTGGTGGGGTGTTGTAAGGTATCCGATTGACCAAATAACTTCTTTAGTTAGATTTAGTTTAGTTAGTAGGATAGTTAGATAGATAAAGAGTGTGTGTAAGAGAGAGAGAGTGAGAGAGAGTGAGAGAGAGTGAGAGAGGGAGAGGGGGGGAAAGAAAGAGAGAGGGAGAGAGAGGGGGGAGGAAAGAAAGNAATAGTAAATATTGAAATAGAATATTATTTGACAGAGTGAAGAGAGAGAGAGAGAGAGAGAGAGAGAGAGAGAGAGAGAGAGAGAGAGAGAGAGAGAGAGAGAGAGAGAGAGAGAGAGAGAGAGATCTTCTGTGGATTTAATTAATATTACATTCGAATTAATGACATAACTATATCCAGGTTTAGATTTGGAGATGTGTCTCTATGGCCATTTTTTATTATACGCTGAAAGATAAAGTTGTCTAAACCTTTTTGTTCTTTCGTCTGATAAGTTTACTTTCGTGATCCGATTGACCAAATAAATTATTTTCAATTAATTAATCTTTATGTAAGGTATTGGTTGAAATGAAAAAAGTTATTGACACGAGCGGGATTCGAACCCACGACCTTCCGCTAAATACGCCGCTGCTCTACCACTTGAGCTATCGTGACTTCGATCCAGTCAGACATCAACTCCTCATCCAACAGCCCACCTTTCGAATTTTCCCTCTTTTTTGAAAAATGAATAAAAAAGTCAGTGTCATTTTTCATTTCAGCCAATACCTTAAATAAAGATTAATTAATTGAAAGAAGTTATTTGGTCAATCGGACGACGAAATTTAATGGATTTAAAAAGGTAAAACCAAATATCTTCACTCAAGCTCTCCGTGGTCATTACATTTGTGGCCGAGAATCGAATCCTGTTTACACATTTGAAAAATGGCAAAAAAGGAGGGAAATTTCGAAAGGTGGGTTGAGGTGGGAAGTTGGTGACCGATTTATTAAGGAGAAAGCGATGGTCGAGTTAAAGCGTGCATTTCATATTTCCCACGCATACGGTTCTGGTTTCGAATCCTGATAAAGCCCATAGGTTTTTAATTGAGAATAATTTGACAAAAGGATTTGAAAATGGGTTGGTGCCTTATGTACGACATCTAAAAGGTACTCGGACTGTAATACCTCCTGCATGACAAGAATTGTTTTACTTTTGTACACTTAATTTTGAATGCATTACGTTAGTCGTTAGTCTTTACCGATTAACTAAATTTTCTCTCATACTCATTAGTAAAAGACCATGGTGAGTCGTTTAGCATATTTTTTATTATTGGAATTTTTTCCCAGTGAGGGTTATTGATATTGAAATGGACCATTAGCTCTTCCTAGAATACTAATGTTCTTAATATTATATTTCAATCTCGTTTCCGTTTTTTCGAAAATTATTCCAGGCATAAAACTGAACCAGAAGTTGGGCTATAGGTGCTAGGAAAATTCGTAATAAATAATAATCTTTCTTAATTTTTAGTTACAAAGAATATAAAATTAATTATTATAATTTTTATTTATGCATTTAGACAATCTCTGTCAGTGCAGATTAACCAAATCTTTTAAAATGGTGTAATTTCCTAAATGTTTAAAGATGACCAATAACAAAACCTTATTAAAAGCCACAATTCGGTCTAAATGACTTTTCTAACGAAAATAAAATGTGATCTACATCAACGGCTTTTACTGGCCCGTTTACAATTACGTGGAATTGTTTTTACAGTAATTCGGTTTAGTTAGAACGCTGAATAGATCCAATTCTCCGGGAACTGATCCCATTAAGGTAGGCGCTTCTCCTGTGTTTCAGCTATTAAACCAGAAATTCTTTAGGCTATCCCGTCTGCTCTCAACTTGCTGTTGGCTACCGCGATGCTCCCCTAAAGTTCTCCGGTGCGGGCTTAAACTTAAATGTTTATCAGCTCCCCTCACATTGCATGGCATTTTCGTCCGAATTAGAACTAGATTTTGTCAAAACAACTTATGCAAACTTGGCCCTGTTGTTTTTACACCGACCCTTGTCTAATTAGAGATTTGTTATCTCCTTAATTCTTTCTTCTTCTAATTTTTATTTTAAATGAAAAAAGAGAAAAAATATTTTGAACAAACCTTACCATCTTGATTACCACCTGCTTCATACTGACAATTGTTTATGGATTATGTTTCGCTATTTCATCTACATTTCTAACATATAGTAAATGCTTAAGTTTAGGAATAGACAATACAATTTAAACAAAATTGTAAAATATATTTAAAGAAAAATTATTAATCATTGTTAAATAAAATTTTAAAAATGTTCGTTTAACAAATTTGATTGAGGAACATACCTTGATAACAAATCCTTTAGAAAAATATTTTCGTTTTTGGTGATTAGTGACCGTTAGTCGATGATTATTCGGAAATCGTGAGATGCGGTCAGGTGTGATGTAGGTTTCAGAAAAGTATTTTCTTGATCGTGCCAACGTTTCGATCTTTATTGAGATTATCTTCAGGGCCTGGGATTTACAAACATTGTTTAAATTTAACAAATACATTTTTTATGTAAAAACATACATTTATAGTATAACGAACATATAAATATACATTACAGATGTATAAACATAAATCTGAAACCTACGTCACACTAGACCGCATCTCACGATTTCCGAATAATATTTTCTTTATCGTGCAAACGTTTCGATTTTTATTGAGATCTTCTTCAGGGCCTGGGATTTATAAAAATTGTTTAGAAAATACATATAAGATAAGAATATGCAATGATGTACACAATATAAAAATTTTAAGTTTAATCAAAGTATTTGTACTGACTAAAAGTGGGGTGTAGAAGTGAGTACAAATACTTTGATTTAACCTAAAATTTCCACATTGTGTGTATAAATTTATATTCATATCTTGTATGTCTTTGTACAATTTAGACAATGTTTACAAATCCCAAGCCCTGATGATGATCTAAATAAAGATTGAAACGTTGACACGATAAAGAAAATGTTTTCTTAATCTATATCACACGAGATCGCATCTCACGGTTTCTAAATAATCATTAATTAACAATAAATACTACACATTTATCCTTGAATATACTTTTTTGGAGAGAAAGTATCGACCACTTGAAGTTTAATTTGATGTATGATTAGTATTATGGTCAAATGGTGGAATAAAGACAAAATTCCAACTTTGCCAAACCTATATTTTCAAATAAATTAACAAAATTAACAGTTATTTTATAAACACAGAACAATGCCAATTTTTGGCACAAGTAACTACTTACTTTATTGCTTTTTGTTTTTAATTTGTAATCAAGTGACATTACAAGAAAAACAAGGATGGTAGCTCTTAATAACTTTACCTGTGCCAAAAATTGGTATGTGTTCGGGTCTGTAAAATAACTGTTGTTACTTTGTTGGAAAATATGATGATGACCTTGAAGCCCGGATCGAAAGCTTGGTTACGTTGGAATTTTGTTTTTATTCTATCCCTTGTTCAGAATCATCACTGATCATGCATCAAATTAAATATAGTTTTGTAACCAATTTATCCAACTTATTTTTTAAAGTGTACTTTACCTGGAGAACTCGAAGCCTAAGCACTTTGGAAAAAGGGTAGATAGAATCTTCGCTTTCCCAGATAGTTGAGCTAGTTGTTAGTTTGGCTATAATGGATGGGAACTCGTCTGCTGTCCTTGTTACATTGCTGATAACGGATTCTTTACGGTAACTCGCCATCTGAAAATGTAACGTTTTATTTAAAAACTCAGATCATGTTAAGAATTACTGTGCCTGAAAACAATAAATCATTAAATACAAAATAATCCATATACGTTTAGCGGTCATAATTGACCATATTAATTATTTCAATTAATTCTTCTTTTTATCTGAGGTCTTGGTTGAGATAAAAAAGATAGTGTCACGAACGGGATTCAAACCCACGACCTTTCGCTCAATACGTCGCTGCTCTAACATGAGCTATCGTGACTTCTGACGCCAAGACCTTAGATAAAAAGAATAATTAATTGAAATTAAATATAAATATTATTTGACTTTGTAGCGCATCCGGCTTTGCTATTATGAAAGTGCGGCTTAGAACAATTAGCCATTCAGTGGTCGAAAATGTTGAACACTTGAGAGTGTTAGGAAGGATTCGTAAGCCAACTAGACGCGGATTATCGGCCACTATTGTGGCTTATACTCGGCGTCCAGAGTATTTGGCCGGGATTAAGTCTTCAGAGCTCGACTCAGGGTGTCGATATTTCGCTTAAATTCTCTTCAAATTACAAAAGATTGATTGAATAAAGAGATGAAAAGCTTTCCAAAATATTCAAAGCTTCTAAACGGTCAACAGTTTGATGGAATATATTAAGTTTTTCAAGGAGAAAGTAATCTTTTTTATAAAATGGAATCATGTATCGTTGTTACAGTATTATACAAACGCGTAGTTTGCGTTTAGCATAGTCGAATTTTGGGTCGGTTGGGTGGTCGGAGTCCCTTCTTATACCCCAATACAACACCCAGCGTTTCGAATTATTCAAAACTTCTGGAGTTATGATCGACAGTTCGATAGAATACATTAAGTTTTGAAAGTAACAAATCGACTTTTTGATCACTCGAATGAAGTATCGTTTTTACAATATCATACACATACGTTCAAAATAGCGTAATTCGGCCGGTGTCTGTGGTTTGCTCTCCCTGCTTAAATCCCTAACATGTTCAGCTATCGCGCTAATTAATGCTTAAGTACTTGTTATTTTTTGTTTGTTTATTCAATAGATTTATGTGTTAGGCGATATTTTGTATAATAGTAATAACATGATTGATTGTTACGTATATATCTAAGATGGAGTCCGACCTCGGTCTTATCCATACCACCGCCGAAGTTAGGTTCCAGTGCCTATCGACACAATTTAGCCCCCCTCCAATGCATGCAATTTTTACCAAACACACTCACATTCTCAATTAAATTATATTATTGTTTAGCATCCCAGTTAATTAAGTAGGGTGATGGAATATTCGATATTTGTCCATCACATTGCCTAATTGTGGATCGATGAGGTATTTGATATTCTGCCAACGGCGCCCATGTACTCACACGGTTTAAGTACGCTTATAAATGCCTTCTTACGAAACAGTGAACAAACGAGAAACTGGTTATATATAAATAGTAAGATTAACTGTAACAAAAAAAATCTATACGCACAGAAATACCTAGGTTTCCTCTAAGAATAAAGATCGACCCAAAGATTCGTTGCCAAACTCAACCACAATTCTAAATTGGGTGCCAGGACTACTCGCTCTCTATATGGAGCCAAATAATGACCTTTCTTTGTATGCTAAACACTGGCTTTGGCCCAAAAGAATACCTGTGTGCCAACTGCGTATAGCCCTAGTTACACTGGGAATGGATTCGTGGTGGCGCGTGGTGACGCCCCTGGCGGGAACTTAGACAGAGGCTGTATTCTATCTGTGACCTTTGTGAAGCTTGCGTATGGCCAGCGTAATTACCCCCGGCCTCACGGGACACGTTGTGACCGGACGACAGCGTGTAAGCGTTGAGGACGCGATGATCATGCTGAATATTCCCTCGAATGCGTGAATAAGCGAACGGAAACGGGTAGTGAATAGACTCGAGTATGCTTTGCATTGTTGTGCATATGACCGGCGTGGTACCCTTGGAGAAGCGAAGGATCGGACCACCTAGGCTGAGCCTATGGCGCCCCTCGAATCCGCATGGCAGGGGCGGTGCTCAACTAGGGTGTAGTTCGAAATTCCACTTTAAACTAACCCACTGCCGGGGCGTTCCCGGAAGTTTCTACGCTAGGGGAGCCGCTATACTCAGGGAGATAGAGTGGCCTTCTCTATCTAGAGAGTACGCGGGAGAACAGGCTGAGGTATTTCGGTCTGTTAGCCCTTTGCGTGCGGCATACGACCCGATGCACAATGCGGGCCCGACCATTCGGAGTGGACGAGCGGAGAGCGAGGTTGTCTCGGCCCATAGGGGCTGGGGCGCCTCTACACCTATGCTGCGACGGTAACACCATTCCGTCGTATACGGAGGTGCGTCAGCTCTCATCTTAAGAATCAAAACGTCCGATAAAGCCGAATAGGACGCTAAAGATCGTCTTGTCTTGTTGACGATGAGTTCTCGGGAACGAAATGCCAACTGCGTATGGCCGATTGTGACACGGATCAGGATGGACCTCCTTCTGTGCTCCTCCGAGGACCACCCATCGACAGTGCTCTTGGGTGTATATAGTAAATGTGAGAATCATAGTGTCAGAATGAGAAAGGATTTCGGTAGTAATTCTGTACATAACAATGGTCCCAGGACGCGGCCCTGTAGAATTCCTGCATCAACCCTACGCAAGAGCTCAGCAGCAACGCTACCAAAACTCTAAAGTATTTATCAGTCAAATAAGATTTGAGTATGAAAAAATTGTGAAAGGAAGCGCTTCAGAAAAATTATCAAAATCTCTGGGGTTCACTTCTCGACCTTGCTATTGACTCTCAAGTCCACGACCCAGTGTACTGACGCTGCCATCTTTTTATTACCATATTCTTTATTGCTAGTTTAAGATCAATGGACCAGATTGCGGTAGTGCGATGGTAAGAGAGGGTGGGCCTTCCAGTCCCGGTATCCTAACAGCACTACCGGCTTTCCGAGACGCTCCTACTCAGCCTGCCTTTCAAACAAAAGCTCAGTGAGTCCGGGGCATACTAGGTAGGATCAATCTTCTCCCATTAGTAGTGCATTCTCTTAGTGCATGCCAGATCGCATGTGGCTCGGACGTGGTTTTGGTTATGAGGATTTATGTTAAGTACGTTGAGACCGTTTTATGAAATTTCCGGTAATGGAAGCTGATTGGGAGAAATGTGAAGATATGTATGGGTAGTTTCGTTTGGAACATTGAATGGAGCATCAAGGAGTCATTTTTCAGATTACGGATTTGGCACTTTGGAACCGCTGGATGTTAAAATGCTTGTCTGAACCTCACACTTCCGGTCTGAAAATCCATATCGGCTGAACTGTGGTGCTATAAACCAGCCTTTTATGTTTGAGTGGTATGTCAGAACATTTTTCAAGAAATCGTGCAAAAGCCCTGTATCGTGGCATAACTTTTCAGTGTTCTACACGCGCGCGCGCGCGTGTGTGTGTGTGTAAATTCCAGATCAAACTTTGTCGATGTATAGTGTAGGTACACCATCTAGGATATGAAATAATTTGAAAAAGGGATCTGTTTTAATGGTTCAGTTTATTATTAAAGAAAATTATTTTTAAAGTATTTTATGGGCTTGACCGTACAAAATCTATGTAGTTTTGTTTTTATAAATTTTATAAAATTTCGTTAATTGTCCAAAAACGTTAACATTTCAGTCTATGCATTAGTCGTACGGTAAAAAACGCTATTAAAGTCTCTCAGCTTTATAAAACACCGTCCTTAAAAAGAGACGTTGAAATTAAATTTACTCTCGACACAGAAAAGCCCAAAAGCCTTATTGGATGCCTGTAGATTGCATTGAAAATTTCATGCGTTCCGACGACACCGATAAATTTATTTCCCGTGTATTTCTCATTACTACTACAAGACAAATTCAGTATTACAAGCTAGTTCAACCTATCACTGTAACCGAGAGATGGAGATGACGGTTTATTAAATGTGTGAACCAGAGCATAAATAATTGATTTGGAATAAACTTAAGTTCTAATTCCTGCTTCCAGGGTTGACAAGTTACTGGATTAATATTTTATTAATTTGAAATTCCAATGAATATAGTCAATTATGAGCACTAAGCAAATATGAATTAATTAACTTTAAAATTATTTACATCTAGTTTACTATAAGGAAGAATAGCTTAAACACTGGCAGGATAAATGGCACGTTTAAGTTCATTACAAATTGAATAACCAGACAAAGTTCCAAACCTCAACAAGTGGGCTTATGACAAAATACCAAGTGTTAAAGGGAGTGGACGTCTAGAGGATCTGTGTTAATAAAGCTTTCAGCTCTTTAATCCGATATGATTGCGTTTTGATAACTGATTCCCTTTGGGGTATCCGCGCTTTTCAGCGAGAACGTACATTTCTGTTGGAATTTAATCTTTGATTTGGTTTTGGCTGTGATTTTCCTTTACATCTGTGATCTCTGAAAACTAATTATCAAACACGTACAACTGAATCCTGCGCTTAACTCTAATTTCCATAATAAATTCTTTCTGAATTTCTGAGTGTCGATAGTCAAACAAATAAATTACATAAAAATTGGTTCAAGGTAAAAATATGTATATATATACTTTGCCAGCAGATTCAACATTCAAAATGGAACCAAAGAGTTTATATATATATATTTTTATATTTATATATACACACATATATATGTACATATATATATAAAAAAAAGCTTTTATGGTTCAGCTTTTTTGTATTAATAGTAGCATTAAAAATTATATAAATATGGCTTAAAAGACCTAAAAGACAGCAAGACAGCGTACAAAAAGAATAAATTTTGATTGTGAGACGCTTATATTCTCAAAAAAAGTTAAGATTGCTATTACATCGTCAATATTTTTATACAAGGTGGTTCAGCATAAACCCCAAAAAAATCTCAAACCTGCCGAAGTTATAAATTTTTGCCTGTTTTTTCGAAAAATCCCGACCTTAAGCCATTTTTTGAAGATCCAGAGTATCTGTTCCAATTTTTAACCATATTTTTAAAGCTTACATTAAATTTCCT